TGATTCAAAGTACAGAAGTGGCGCCTCACCGATACCGAGGGATAAACAACTATCGTATTACATAGCCGCCCTCCCCTTTTGAGCGTCGTCCCCGGCGCTCCCGCAGGTCAACCTCCCGCGTCAGCCATTACAACGTATTCGGTGCTGTAAACACCCACGATCCGACCGTGCCAGTCACCAAATTAGCGCGCAACTGAGGGGATACTTGACCTCAACGTCACTGATCCCTCTTGGGAGCTTGACTAGATCTGGAGTTTTGTTCGGTTTAGGGATTTGATTCAGAACAGGGAATTGCGCTAACCATCATGCGTGTCCATAGACGGATGTAGGAACACTGGCCTAAAAGTAGATTTGGGTAAGGGAGGACAAGATTTAAAACAGGTCCATGGGGGACGGTAGGGGAAATTCGCAACGAAACTTCCAGATGTTTCACGGCTAGTGTCGCTTCAGTTGTTAATAGCTTTTCTGCAGAACACGGGACTGGGAGAGATGCCGAAGGCAGACGTCAACATCAACCCTTCTGTTAGGGGTCATCACCATTCTCCCATCCGTAGCATATGTACTTCCTCGGCTCCACTAAGGCCTATCAAGCAGAAGTGGAAAATCAGGATACATGTCCTCTAAGATCGGGTTCGCTTTCCGCTGCCACCAATGTAGCGTTCCGAGACTCCCTGAAGACGAAAGAAGACACAATACTCGGGCAGAATATATGTATTCAGCATAGAGAAGGTGTCTGGGCTATTGGCATGGCCCAAAAGGCCAGCCCACCCAGCGAGGTACAAGGGGGCTAATTCAAAGTACAAAAGTGGCGCCTCCCCAGTACCGAGGGATAAACCACTCTCGTATTACACTAACTAGCCAGTGATCACAAAGCAAAGTGTTCCCACAGTAGACTAGGAAAATTTGAGAAAAAAACGGGATTCATGACTTAAATAGTATAATCCACACATTCATGCACGATCCTAGTAACCTTAAATTTCCTACGACTAGGCTCATCCTCAGTTAAACTCGGCAATACATAAACAGCACTGCGGCAAGGTGATCATCATCATAGCCTCTCCCTAGGTGGCTCAGGACAAACGCACCACTCCTCTTACGCCGCGCAGCGTGACCCCAACCATACCGCCCTCCGTGCCACCACGTCCGCAGGACACCAGGCAACCCAAGCTGGTCGAGTGCGCGCACCCTAACTCCCAACACCGCGCCAGCTCCACTTCCAGAAGAATCAATCCGAAGGCACGCACCCATGGACAGAAATTCTCCATTACAATAGTGAGTACAGTGATTGTACGAGTCTCACGATATCCCCAGACTCGCGACTCAGGAAGAGGAAATCGAAGACCTCATTGCAAAAGTTGGAGTAGTATGCGTAGCCCCACGTGCAGTTGGGAGTGAAGTTTACCTCACAGAGCTATGGGAAGGGGTGCCTTGCCGCCTTTGCCACCACTCCAGAAGCAAATCCACCGTGTTACATTGCGCGTGACTTGCCGTAGGCGCCCAGACCTCG